TGTACTCGAGCACGCTCAGTCCCAGACCCAACTCCACGGTCTCACGCAACACCTCGTCGCAGGGCCGACGGCTAAGGAAGGTGGCGAGGCCGTCTTTGCACGTGGGCAGCAGGTTTATCACAGCCAACTGACAGCGCGCTCCATCACCGTCGGTGTGTGAGTCGACGTCGCGAGACGCCGATTTGGCGACTCGTCTGGTGCGCTTTCTGGAGGTGCGCGGATTGGCGCCAACACACCGACCCAGTCCCACAGGCCACAGAAACGCGTAGTTGCGTAGAACGGAGAGGGAGGAGCCAATTACGAGGATGAGGGATGCGGGCGATTCGCCAACATCGCCGCATTCACTGAAAAGCAGCAAACACAATCGTTGTCATCATCGTCGTCGTCGCATTGGTGAGTCAAAAATATTATGGATGCCAACAGTAATCACGCCCTTTAGAATGCGTTTTGAATTTTTTAGGACTGGATTACTGTTCGAAGCTCAGATAAAGGGGAATCACCTTTTTAATTAACAGCATAGATTGTGCATGACCATTAGGAAGTACTAGCCTGAACTGCTTTCATAAAGCTATTCTTCTGGCATATCCATCCGTGTTGTTGTTATGCATTGAACTATAAAATGGAAGAAGCATAAATAAAAAGAATATAGCTACTTTTTTAGAATATTGTCTTACAGACTTCAGTACACAAACAGTTCATATGGCACACTTATATATTGAGTTTAATTAACCCTCGAATCTAAATATCGGTTATGTTTATTCAGGGTACGCAAGCTGTCAGAAGTTATTTAAGGCCAACAGATCCTTGGAAAACGCCCTAAATGTCATTAAAGTAACTACGATTTTCAAAAATGTATTTATTTAAACAATAACCTAAATGTGTAAAACATTTAACTTAGTTTTAATAAGTTGTTTTTTTAATATCCTTTTTAAACTCTGGAGTTTAGCCATCAGTCGCTAAATTGCGTAGTTGTCGAAGGTCACTATGTAATTGGCTAAGGTTGTCAGTACCTTATTTCTTAATTTAATGCTTTTGGGTGTTTACTATGCCTTAAAGTGTTAAAAGTTGTTACCGAAATTTTCTTAAAGTTAAATTATTTGCATTTTACAAATGAGTGATCTTAATCATGACCTAGAATAAAACTATAGTTTGGTCAAACGCAGAAATAAATGTGGTATTTTTCGCTGATTAAATCCACAGGAAAGCAAATTCATGTCATCTTTATTTTCACAATTTTATATGATTGTTATTCTCTCGGATTTCCACTGTGTGTGTTTTACACATGCATAGTAAGTAAACCCTATTCTTAACTATTTAATATTTATTAACCCCTTTTGTCCTGGTACCACTCCTTGTTCTTACAACAGTAAACTCATATTTCTTTTAAGTAATCAATTGCACCTTGCAAAGTGTTATTTGTACTCAATGTACTGACTAGTTCCCTTTCGTTATCGGTAAAATCGTACCTAAACACGAAGAATTCTTCCCTTACAGGCATTCATAGGCATACTATGGAGTCTTTTAGTGAGGACATAATTCGCGAGATCAAACGTATAAATAACATTCCGGAAGAAGTCCAAAACTGTAGCAGCCTGGTGAGGTCCATTCACCTGTTTTTTAGCGATCTACCACAAACTGTTGCATTCAAGACATTCTCAAACCTGAAGGAGTTGGTTATTGTGGGTCATCGCATATCGGACCTTTCTTTCCTAAAAGGTTGTACTAACCTCTCTGTGTTGTGGGTATGTGAAAGTGGCCTCAAGTCGATGCAGCATTTAAAATTGGCCCCAAACATAGAAGAGTTGTATTTGTTTGATAATAATTTAAAGCGGATTGAAGGCCTGGACCAGATGTCCTCACTTCGACGTCTTTGGTTGAATGACAATGACATCCACACTGTGTCGAATGTTGAAAATCTAAAGAAACTACGTGATTTAAATGTGGCTGGGAATAACATTGAACGCCTGGACTCGTGTTTATTTTACTGCACGGATTTAACTACCCTTAATCTTTCTGGAAACCAACTGTACGATATACCAGACATGCTGTCTTTATCTGCCTTGCCAAAACTCCGTGAATTGAGGATTAATGATGGAGAATATGCATCTAGTCCGATTTCATTGAGTTCCCATTCCTACATGGCCTTGCTGCATTACATTCCACATATCACTAGTATAGATAAGATTTCTAGGCGCGGCTCCTATTTACGTAACCTTATCCAGTCCGTAGTTTCCAACAAAAAGACATTTTATTTTGCAAGTTATCGTCATCAGCATAATGTCCTACTGCAGGCCTGTCGGGTACTTTTTTCGTTAAAAAATCGCTTGTTTAAGCACATTAGCGAGCGACTGAGATTATTAAGCGAACACACTAGAGCTATTGAAACTGCGTCTGATCCCATTGGCGCCAACTCACCTGATCATGAGAAGTTAAAGAAAAAACTTGAAGAAATTCGCAATCGGGTGAACTGGTGGAAGGGTGTTTGGAGTGAACTGGAAGACGAGTATTCGCATTGCTTCTCTACTCTGATGGGCAGACTGCAGTTTGATCGGTGTATTCGTACTTGTGAACTTCAGCTGTTTGGTGGGCTGATGGTAACACCAGTAGATCCCGCTTTCACTGACCTGTTCACGTTGTGCTCGTGCTTTTGCCAACAACGACTGTGCTGGCACGACCACCTTGTAGATAACTTTTCGGATCTGCGACTGAGTCGCCTGTGGGTTGTTCGAAATGACTTTTTGAACCACTTCTTTCATCTAGAGCAAATCACCGATGCCGACACTATCGACGAGGAGGTCTTGTTCTATTGCTGCGTGTTCGCATCTGGCGTCGATTACTGCCACCTGGCGAGTATTCTTCGTTCTGGCTTCTTTGGTGACGTAGCTGGCAAGAATCTGGACTTCTCCTCCCTTCTGAACCCCGTCTTGGAGCTTAATAGTGCATTAAGCAGCACGAAGTATAACACGTCATTTCATGTTCTCCTAGTTCGTGCTATTTCTGACGAGTGTAATGACTTCACGCGTACTGACGTACAAATATCCAATACCACAACGAATCCTTCACGTCTCGATTCCGCCAAGGTTGAACCATGTGCCTGCTCTCTTAATCACGCTAACTTCACTTTTACAAATGGCGCCTACTTGGTACCCGAATTCATAGTTGAGTTGGAGCTTATTGCTGACTCCCAGTCTTCACAGTTTTTCGGACACGTGAGTAGCAGCGATCTGACGTGTCCACCGGTGCTGAAGAAAGCCATCGAAGACAAAATTAAATTGGGCGTCGCCCGGGACACGCGTATCCTGAAGACTCCTCCTGAGGTCCCACTGCCTCCAGATTTATCTGAAATGTCATTGGAGGGGGCGTTGCGTCTGCCGTGGTTCGCACGCGTTGCTTCGCTCCCTCAGTGTTCAATAACGGAGATCAATTTGCACGGAACGGGATTCCGCAGTCTCAATCACTTTGGCCAACTTCCAGCCTTGAAGGCGCTGATATTATCGGACTGTGGACTGTCGAGTCTTGACGGATTGAGCCTGCCGACCTTGGAACTTCTCGACTTGAGTCACAACTCGCTGAACACTCTGAAAAGCATGGGCATGTGTCCGAGTCTGCTCCAGCTGGATGTCAATTGGAATCTGCTCAGCGACTTGGAAAGCGAAATGCGCCACCTCCGCGCGGTAACAAAGAAATTGGCTGTAATTAAGATCGAGTGTAACCCTTGGCTCAGGTGTGAGCGGGTGCTGGAACGAGCTTGGTCACTTTTGCCAAGCCTAAGTCGACAGTCGGGTGTGACCATTGGTGAGAGCACGGACAGTGCGGGTGCCTTCATGCTCAATCACCTCTTCTCGACCTCCAAGCACTACATGCTCACGCTTTGGCCAATTCTCTACTCTCTTCCAAGGCATTTTCCTAGCGACACTAGACCGCTAGAGTGGTTTTTGCAGTCGACGAAGGTGTTTGATAACTCCATGTCTTCGATTCCGTCCTTCTCACCGATCTACGCTAGCACATTGAGCGCGTTGTCCATTAATAACGCCTACCTGACTGACTTGTCATCGCTGTCGTCATTGAACCAGCTCCAGGAATTGTCGATTGAGGACAACTGCCTGACCTCCCTTCATGGGATTCACCACCTCCACAACCTGAAGACCCTCCTGGCGGGGAATAACTCCATTACCTCGATTTCCAATTGCGGACTTAACCAACTCAAGAATTTGCAGGTGCTAGCTCTCGACAACAACCAAATTGACTCGTTGAACCCTCTTGGCTGTTGCTCAGCCCTCAAGCAGCTCTACTTGTCTGGCAATAAAATCAGCTCTTACCAATGTGTCCTTGTCCTGGGCGACTTGCTCAATCTCGACGTCTTGGATTTGCGTTTCAACGCCTTGACCACGCAGCTGTTGAACTACCGCCTAAGAACTATCTACCGCTTACCACACCTGATCTTCTTGGATGGTTTGCCTGTGAGTCATGGTGAAATTAATGAGGCAAGAGATACTTTCGACGGTCGACTAACAACGGAGTACCTGCTGGCTTCACTGGGGATCGACCATCCCTCAGGACTCACCCGTATTGATTACGAGGACAACGCCCTGCGCAGAATCGACCTGTTCCCTCCCGATGCCTTTGTGAACCTTCACACCGTCAATTTGCAGAACAACAAACTGACCTCGTTGGACGGACTGTTGGATTTGCGAAGCGTTCAGGTGTTGCTGCTTTCGGACAATAGGATAGCCTGCCTCACCTCCAACGCCTCCCTTCGAGACTCCAGAATGGACCTTCTGCCTAATTTGTCAGTTCTGTCGTTGGCCGGGAATGGTATTCAGTGTCTGAAGTCCCTTCAACTCCATCGCTTTCCTCTGCTTCACACGCTCTTCCTTCAAGAAAACTCGTTGACCTCGGTGTCGGGACTCGAGGGCGCACGCAACCTTCTTAATGTTGTGCTCGACAAGAACAAAATCCGCAAATTGACCCCCGAGGACCTCGTGACGCTGCGTTGCCTCATCGAGTTGCACTTGGAGAGTAACCGTCTGCGTGATCTGCCGTCGCTAGGTCACTTGGAACAGCTGGTCCATCTCTTCCTTGGCGACAATCGGTTGGACGACCTTGACGCCACCATTGAAAAGCTCTCGTCACTGACTCGCCTTACCCACTTGGTTCTCAGTGGCAATCCCGTGTCGAAGGTTAACTCCTATCGTCTAGCAGTGTGCTACGCTCTGCCTCGACTGAAATTCCTGGATGCCGTTGACATTAGCGAGCGTGAGTTGCAGCTGGCGTTCAGTCTGTACGGCGGTCACGAGTCGCCGGCTTCGTCGAACTCCGCGCTCGAATTTGAGGTGCCATTGGTAAAACGCACGATTCGCAGCCTCGGCACAAAGGTGCTCACCTCTCAGCTATGCCTTCCGCCTGTGGCTAAATTGGGAGCTGCGGCTGACGGTGGTGGTGGTAGTGGTTCTCCAACTGCATTGGCACCACCCCCATCCACTCAACAGGCAGACAATGTCGACGAAACTCACCAACCTACCACTTCAGCCCTCAACGATGCGTCCCCGAAGACACACCAAGGCAACGGCGACACACTGCCAGCAGATTCGTCCCCGCTGATAGTCACGTCAACGTCGTTGTTGAAGACCGCCTCCAGTGTAACGGCGCCCTTCCCGAAGGATCTGCGGTTGTCGGTTGCCAAGAAGAAGTCCACTGGTGGATCGATAACGCTGGAGTTTAAGAGGCACCAGGAGCGGACCCCGAAGAATGACTCCAAGAGGGTTGTGATGTCGATCCCTGGAATAAGCATCAACGCAATGGCCAACATCAGCTCTCAGCTGTCTAACCTGCCTTGTGTTGAGTCGTATGATCTTCTTTTCGAAGACGAACGATAAGCCAACCCCCCTGCACTCTGGCTGCATGCCAACTTACCTAGTGTATTATTTTTTACACACGCACACACACAAGCTGAAATATTAATTTTTCGCTTAAGTGTCGTTTGTTTTTTTGCTTTGGTTGTGTGCGGCACTAGCTTTTCTTTGTTGCATTTCGGGTATAAAATGTGTATAGCTTATTCTACCTAAATCAAAAAGTAGAGTTTGTTTACTAAGAAGGTTTGTGTGTGCAGCTAATTCACGCATCGGTTTGTTTGAAATGTGAATTTGGCGCATAAGAGCGCGCTCACCAGGAATCACCAAGTCCCTGTTCCCTATACGTGTTGTTTTAGCGTTGACGTAGCACCAAGTTATCATTCAGCGCATAACCGCGTGTTAAGTCCGTTTAAGCTTGATATTTTTGTGCTGAGTCTAAAGTTTTTCTAGCAATCTGCAGCTTGCGTGGTGCAAATCGTGGTTACGCGTGCCTTGACGTCATCATTTCGCCACATTATTACTTCCTACGGATTTTGAAGTGAGAATTTTATTGTCAAAAGAGTGATCTTTGCTCGATAAACTGTGCGAACTTGGCTTAATGACCCTGCCATTCGCAAAGCATGGACTGACCCCTCGAAAATCGACCGATGACGTCAGCTACCTCCCCTTCTCCCTCTAGCGCCACCATGTAGTCTTGTTTCCAGGTTGCTCTGTCCAGTTGATAAGACCTAAGTTTTTCTAGCACTCCTCACCCTCCGCAGGCACTGCTGCACTCCTACCACGCGCGTGTGTGATGCACTTCCAACTCAACGGATTACTGAGACCATGCGTTGGCGCCGTCACGATAGTGCCGCGTGATCAACCCTACAGGCCATGCGATCTCGGTGTACTTTTAGCTTAGGAAGCTGAAGCAGCGAATCGGCGGTCTGCGTGTTCGCTCAAAACTGTTCTACCACCTGCTTGCTCTCATTCCAGACTACAAATAACCACAAGAAACTCAATACACTTGTACTTGTCAGACATTACAAAATATACGAGCATTGTTGCATTGCTTTCCATGTAATGAACGGAACGTTAAGTAGATTGAAAGAATGAGCACTACGTAGACGCAGAGATAAGTCAACAGGCATGACGATGGGCGGTACGGAAATGCTAGAGGGGACAGCGGGGAAGGTAATATACATTCAGGTTACTACTAATTGCTCTCATCTCCGGCGACAACATTCCTCTTATCACGCGAGACGTTGAGGTGCTGTGTGCGCATTTTGAAGGCAAACTGGTTGGCGTAATGCCGTGCTGCTTTGTCTTGAGTTCGTCTGGCTTGATTGGCGACTACTTTGGGTGGCGGTGGTCCCATGCCCAGAATCGTCCGCGTCAACTCGTTTTCCTGCAAATGTGTATTCATACCTACCGACAATAACCGGCATAACGAATCGTAGTGAAAGGATTGGCAAAATGACTCGATCTGTAGACGCTCCGACTGGATCTTGATCACCTGTTCAAAGGGGACTTCGTGCGTTTTGAGGAATGCTGCTAGGTCCCTGAATGTTTGCCGTTGCTTTTTGAGGTCGTTTTTGGACTTCGACTTGTTGGATTCGTTCGCAAGTTGATCTAGGAGTTCTATCAGGTTGGTGAAGTATGGGCCTTTAAACTTTTCATTGACCTCGTAGCGGATACGCTCAAAAATTAGACCGGCTGCATTGCCTGCAGCTAGGCGCACATCAACGCTGTTCGACTCGAGAAGACTAACGAGGGTCACTAGAATGGCTTGACCAACAGTATCCGCTTCGAAGGTAGGAAGGGCTGAAAATAGGAGACACCAAGCCTGAATGCAATCACAATGCATAGCCAACACTGCAGGCGAATGTACTGGTGGTTTTCCGTCGCCTTTTAGACAGGACATTTTGAAAACGCTCTCAAGAGACTTCATTAGTGCCTTCATACTGACATAGTCGTCGATGTTGCCGAGGAACATTAGCCAAGCCAGTGACAACGCACAGGCTCCTCTAAAAGCACAATTTTCCACCGGGTCGGAAATTCGAGTCTCCATTAGTGGTTGGAAACGAGATACTAGGCCGCGAATCTCAAAGGGCGAGAGTTGCGCGGCGAAAACGGAGAGGCATTCGGCCGAAAGTGCCTGTTCCGTGGGTTTTCCCCGCTTCATACAGCTCTCAAGGCCCGATATGAGTGTGTCGTAGTAGTTCCAGCAATCGTCTACCATGAGGTAGTGCACTCGAAAGGCTTTTTGAAGTGACTTTATCGCAGCAGAACGCGTCTCGGGACGTTTTTCGTAAAGCCCATCGGTGGCCATTGCCACTTTCTCCAAAATCGAAACAGATGAGTCTTCAGCAGACTAAAAAAGCCAAAACGATTTTAACGACAAACAGGGCCGTACGGGGTTGTATCTAAAAGAGGAGTAGTTTTTTGCCCAGTTCTCACGCAGAATCGTTAATTTAAGAGATGCGTTTATTTGCCGAATGTCCTAAACTTCATCAGCAAGGTAACATTGACCGAACAATGCTACTATAAAAAATATAATTTATGATTAGCACCGGCATCGACTAATGTATTGATGGGAAAAATGGCAGCAAATGCAGCTTAAGAGGAAACCTTGTGTGGGCAGTGCGCTGCGACGAAATTGCAGTATAAATGTTCCAAAGATTACCGTTTCTCAGAGGCCATGACCAAAGAATTCTTGTCTGAATCAGGTGGAACGACTACATTCAACGTTAAATAAGTGGACAAGATTTCGTTTTTGGCAAAACCTTTCAAGCAACCGATTATACTGACTTCAACACGTATGACACCAAAAAGCTATTCACGTGATAAGAGAAATTAAGGTTCGATGAAAGGGAGGTAAGATTTACTAAGCTCTGTGGGAGATGATTAAAGTCCCGTCAGGATGAACAAGCATATTAATTAAATTCTCAGATGCGGTCAAACAGAGATTCTGGATGTCATGTCATCAAGGAACGCGTAAACCATGCAATTGAGTTTCAATTAGCCAAATTTGACCAAATAAACTACGACATAATGAGTTTAAGGGTGACTAAACACGAGTGTACCAGAAAATCAAAAGACAACTAAATCGCCTCAACTTGCCTCGGTTTTCGACGACTCAACATCACTGGTATCACTACACTGGCTTGTGGTGCTAAATTCGTCGAAAGAATCCTCGGGAACAGTGTCTACTCAGGTAAAAGCAAAAAGATTTAAACATTACTTTTTCTGGAAGTAGACTTCTTCTTCGGCATGTCGTATCACTTTGAGGAACTCGATATCTAAGTCACGCCACCTCATGAACGCTATGTGGGCTAAAACTGTTCTTAAAGGTTAAGTGCGATGCGTTTTTCAAACCAATAAATTTAAAATTATTTCAATATCAAGTTGTGTTATTAGTCGTCAAATAATGAGTATCAACAGCATTTAAACGTGTAGATAACATCTTAGGCAGTGTCGACCATACACATCCTGCCAGAGTAATGGCCGGTCATGTGTCGCTGTAGTTTTACACCTAATAATCGATAGGAAAAACAGTTTGATCTGAGGTTCAGACGAATGATTACAAATGTGTGTATTTACCGAAAAACGCCTAGTGAAAAAAAAATTTACAAGGTTCAAGAAGCGTCTGGAGAAAAAAATGCGATATCCCTTTCATGATGTTTGCGTTCGCGTCATTTATTGGTTTGTGGCAAGAATTATTGTACAAAGCCTTCGAATTTTAGTGTAATTAGTTGTTATTGACTCAAAAAGATAATAAACATTAGTACTATTTTCCTAAAACCAAATAATGCATTTTTAATCAAAATTTACGTGATGCTTAAGGTTTTTTCGCTGTTCATTTTCTATCTTAGGTGGTTTGCTAAATTAAAAGATAATTAAATGCCTTTCTTACAAGTACACTGCCCAAAACAATGCATTACAGATACGAGATCAGTTGTTCCATATTGCGGCAAATATATGGAATAAAATAAAGCCGAAAACATTTCAGTTTTTACTTATGTGCTTCTTGAAATATTTCCTAAAATACCGCATCGTCAATAATTTCTTTCGCTGAAAATGTACTATTTTGCATACAACGAAACAACAAAAGCACAATAAAAAATTTTGCGTCAGACAATTACTGCTTACTAGCCAATTTTTTACTTTTTTCATGAGGTTTATAAATGACATGTCAACGATTATTCTGACTTCTTTTTCGCATATTTTCAAAAAATCAAAAAGAGCCCTGTAGTAGGTGGGTTTAGTTAATCAGTCTGTACAATTGTTTTATGCAGTCAAATTATTGACCATATAATCAAATTACTTAAGTAAGGTTAATCACTCGGAAATTTTTCGCACAACTGCCTTTGAAAATACATATTTTTATGACAAATACCAGCTTTTAAGTGAAGCACGAGTAACTGTATCCTTTTGCAATGCATTGTATTTGCAATATATATATCAAAAAAACTACCACAATTTAAACTGAATTGTTTAAATAAACCAACAAGATGATGTTGTACTATTTGAGTTTTCGCTGTCACCCATGCTGTCTCACGTATTGTTGATCGCCCCAACAAGGAAACGAAATGTGTTCCGTTGATGTGGTTTCTCGTAAGTCTCCAGCTTTCGCACAGATGGTTAAGTTCGCGTGTCTGGAATACTTCTTTTGACGAAGAATATTTTACGTAAGTAAAATGATGAACGCGGAGACGTTGGTTTGCGAATTTCCTGTTATTTCGGTAGGTTGCGAGTTAGTCAAGTCTACAATTTAGAAGATACAATGAAAGCCCGCGAGAAACTCATCGTGTTGCGTGTTACTACTCGGTTTTGCTTTTTTGAAAGAATGGCTTTCTGTTCTGGTTCTCCTTGTATCTAAAACGAGGGCGTAGCTGTCGTTTATAGTTCATTGACAATTTGGAATTGGTAAGTTTTTGATGATAACATCATATCGCGCTGTCAACTGGCGTCAGTTTTTGACTCTGGTTACACTAATACGCGAAATACATAGTTACTCTGATTCAACCGTGAAGCTACTGTATACTTTGCAGGAACACTTGAGGTACGTGTTGGCCGCAGGGTTCCTCCCTCATCGAGTCAAAATGCAGTCAAACTCGTCACCTTCAATGGGATCGAATCGCTTAATGCTATTCCAGGCCAACGCAGAACCAATAGAATTGTGCAAACCTTTGCTTGACTGAGTTGTCTATTTTTTGGATATTGTAGATGTGTATTTAAAATAAAGTGCTTGCTTCTGGTACTTTATTTGTTTCTGGAAAACCACGGGGTGCTCCGGATCGGTGTTGTGAGTTTGTAGGGTTAGCGAGTTTTACTTGCACCGTAGATTGCCTGTCCACGGTATTATGCCAAGCCATTTTGCCATGTGCGCAGTCGACATTTGGCCAGGGCTAATTAGGATGCAGTTACGGCGTCGTTAATCCATCATACGTGTGGAGGTTCAGATCTCCAATGTTTGTGTTGACGGGAATTCACAGGTTTTCCAGGCTTACTATGGCCATCAACTTATCGTCGCCCTCGTATTCGTGTTTCGCCGATGTAAACAGTGTTATAGTCGTGGTTTTATTTATGCCCAGGATAAAACGTTTTTAACTTTGCTTTCGTTTTGGGAATCGATACAATCGGTTGGGTTTTGTTGCAGTTTGGTGCATCCGATCAATTGTATGACTTGCCGATTGTCTGTGTGTGGCGTGGTGTGGCGTCGGATTAGGGCGCAGACATGTTGGACCACCTGGCCTCAGCCAATCCCGTGTCTCTCTGCGATCCAATG